TTAACATTATACATAAAATGATAATTAATCAAATTAAAAATGTATTAATTAACATCTGTTTTGTATTAATTAACATATTATATTATTAGTGAATTCTTTTAAATATTGTATAAAATGTTAAATTTTCTTAACTTCTAAACATGTCTTTTTTGTCGTTTTGCATTTTTCAACTAACTTATCAGCTAGTTTTTGTCAAATTTATTTAGTTTATCAATCACCAACTGACTTATCAGCTAGTTTGCCAAATGTAGTCATAATTTATAGGACCAAAAAACAAATCGTTCTATTAAAAGCAGTTGTAATAAGTTTATAGTATGCTTATGGACGTCGTAATAATTTTATAAGAAAATATCACATTAACTATTTTATATGACATTATTTGAAAACGTGTACTCTGAACACAAGTGTCCTATAAAAAATGGGTTCATAGGAAATTTTTTTCAAAAGTGTCATATAAAATAGCTAATGCGATGCTTTGTATTAAAAATATCCTAAAAACTTGTTAAAATGCATAAAAATGTCCTATAAACTTATTACAAAGTCTTTAGATACGATTCATTATTTTTTGATCATATAAATTAAATATTATAAAGCAGTCTATTGAAACGCTTATTTATTGGTGAAGTCTTAAAAACTCAATTTTGTTGTAGTAAATAAGAATAAAAGTTACAAAAGTTTTAAGGGCATAAATGAAACCTTCTAAACTAAAGACACTTATAACAAGAGCATAAACAAGAGGGGGCAAATGGAAAAATGCCTGGACCAGTTATTGTTGCTTTGTCTACCTCGTTAAGTTTTCGTTTAGCAACCTGGGTAAGGAATCGCACAGCACAACGCAGTTTCTCTATGGGAAATGGAATCAAATATTCATTTTATCCTAAGGGGCGGGTTGTTTACCTTCTAACAGTTCTATTAAAAGATGACTTTTGAATCATTAAAAGTGAATATTGTTTGGTAAAAAAAAGTCAGTCTTTTATTGGTTCTAAAACCCTCTAAATGATTTTATATTTTGGACCTTCCTTAACCATTTAACACTTTAATTTCGTTGTAAATAATTATGAAACAATTATATTTCATTTTGCACTATATCATAAGGGTATCTTAATTATTCTGACTACTTATTCTGCACCAAACCATTCGGTAACTACGAAACAGCCCTTAAAATTGTTTCTCTTCCGAATTTATCCAAATGTTATCATGTCTTCAATATTTACATCTGCAATATTGTGGATTTGCCTAAGAGACAATAAATAATTTTTAGATTCACCAGGTCCGCAATTACGAATTGCGACGGTACCACTTGCTAAGCTCGTGGAATTTGATTTTTTTTTTCTTTTAGTCAGGTCTGCAATATTGTGAATCTGAATATTGCAGACGTAGTGATATTTAGGTAAATTCAAGAGTATAATGACTAAGAGACCAATTTAAATGAGTAGAATGATTAGTTGAGTCAATTTCCGTTTCTCCTAATTCCAAATCAAGCAAAATTCAAATGTATTTTGATTTTTTTATGTAATATATTTAAAATATTTATTTTATTAATGCATACGTGACATATTAAACATTTAGATAGTTGAGTTATGTATAAGAAGGCAATGTTTTTTCATTTGATTTTATATTTTGTGTAACTTACTTTGATTTTACAATGTTTCTCATATCATATCATATTTTAATTACAAAAGTAGAGATTTAAAGATATATTATACAAAACTAGTTGTGTATAGTGAGATGTCATATTCTAGAATATGTAAACCGAAAACTACAAGTTAGGGGTCGTTTATCAGACACTTATCCGATAAGCATTAACGGGTAAAATTTAACACTATCACTTACTTATCGGGCAAGACTTTAGTCCACCAAAACAACATCATATGCAACAATTTATTTAGTAAGCGCTTACCATGGTAAGAGTCGTCGCCCTCACTTACTGGGTAAGACTCTCGGTCCTTGTCTCCTTCTTACCGGGTAAGATTCTTGGTCTTTACCATATTCATCCGTAAGGTAATGTGACTTGGTAAGCGCTTACCCGGGTAAGCGTTTGGTAAACGCCCTGTTGGTCCCAAAAGGGTCTACAAGAATACTAAACAGTTTGTAGGAGGGGGGGGATGAATACAAACACAATTTTCAAATTTAAAATATATATTGATAAAGAAGATCAATACAGATTTTACAAGATTGTTTGCGGAAAGATAAGTT